TCTATCTATCTATCTATCTATCTATCTATCTATCTATCTATCTATCTGTCTCTCTGTCTCTCTGTCTATCTATCTATCTATCTATCTATCTATCTATCTATCTATCTATCTATCTATATTTTGCTTTTCTAAACCATCCTTCTCCCTGGGCACGATAATACACTGAAATAGAAAACAGTGTGGGGAAAAAATGTTAAATTTGGAGTAAAAAATATGTAATTATTTTTTATGGAAGCTTGCAAGAGCAATTAACCCTGTTAAAAGTTGATTGGCAAAGAGAGGATACTGGGATTTTCCCCTGAATCATACAGACCAGTTTGGCCATCTCAACAAATTCCATCATCTTCACCAACAATGCCAAATTTTTCCATCTTTGGGCGTGCCGTCATCTTGCTGCGGTGACCCGTCAGAGAAAGTTGCACAATTTCTTTCCCCCAACTGTTTAACCATCCATCCCCAAAAGTGTTTGATTGTTTGTTTATTTGATTTGTCAGTCGCTTACAAGATAATAGGTATAAGTATATACATAGTTATGAATACATGAAATGGGTACATATAAGAAAAATAAAAAGAAACAATAGGACAGGGACGGTAGGTACGTTGGTGCGCTTATGCACGCCCCCTACAGACCTCTTAGGAAAGGGGTGAGGTCAATAGTAGACAGTCTAAGGTTAAAGTCAGGTAGAGTCAGGTACAGTATTCCAGACATTGACCACTCTGTTGCTGAAGTGAGGGGAAGGAGGGAAATAATCTGATTTCTGTTGTACCTTAATCGTTCAAATATGCAGCTTTGTGTGCTCATTTTCACCACCGAGGGAAACGGAGGAAGTAGAGAAAGAGGAAATAAAATGAGGAAAGGAGACACTTGTGGCTTGCAATCTGTGGGTTGGAAAGGGCTTGTTTGTTTGTTTTTATAAGGGGAGGGTCCAAAATAAAAGACAGGAGTGGGCAGGGGGCCTTGAGGGGAACTGGTGGTAAGCCAGGCCCCTGAATTTAAGACTGGATTAAACTGGGAGAGGAAGAATTTAAAAAAAAAACTGCTACAAACAAGCCATTCCTATAATCTCAGGCCCTGCAGCCATTCCTCTGAGCATGTGCGTGTTGTTTTTCCAGGGGGGAGAATTAAGATGCTAGTCCTCATTGTGCCCAGTAAAGTGACTTCCAGGGAACAAGAAACAATGGGTGGAAACTAATCAAGGAGAGAAGCAACTTAGAACTTAAGGAGAAATTTCCTGACAGTGAAAACAACGAATCAGTAGAACTACTTGCCTCCAGAAGTTGTGAATGCTCCAACGTTTTTAAAAAGATGTTGGACAACCATTTGCCTGAAGTAGTGTAGGGTTTCCTGCCTAGGCAGGGGGTTGGACTAGAAGACCTCCAAGGTCCCTTCTAACTCTGCTATTCTATTCTATAAGGAGTAAAAATAATGTACTCAACAGCAACAGTAAGAGAGTGAAGAGGTCAAAACCCAGTTCTCGTTTCATGAAAAGACAATGCAGGAAGTTCTCGACTTACAATGGTTCATTTAGTGACCGCTTGAACTTACAACGGCACTGAAAAAAGTGACTCACGATGGTCCTCGCACTTACACAACTGTTGAAGCATTCCTAATTGTCAAATGATCAAAATTTGGGTGTGGGGGGGGGGGCGGATGGAGCCCGGATTCACTGAATGCCGTTGTGATTCACTTAATGACTATACTGATTCACAAATCAGGCATGGGATCTGGTAAGTCAGGTATTTCAAAGAATGTAATGTTGGGCTGAAATTTAATAATAATATGATGATGATGATGATGATGATGATGATGATGATGGCAAAGTCGTAGCCAAGGCTGGAAACCAAGAGGGACTGAAAGTCTCAGAATTATAGAATGACAGTTTTAAAACCTTTTCTTTTCTTCTTTTAAATCAACTTTCCTTACAGTGCTTAGCGTGTCCATCTAAACACACAAAAAATCAAGCACCTACAAGAGATGTTAGATCTATGACTGTCATTTACACCAGGGGAGGGGGAGGGAATCGGCCATTGCACTAAAAACCAGCCATGAGGACTAGCAGCTTGGCTTCAAAGGAAGGAACCCACTTTGCTTCTTTAAGTTCAACCGAGGGAGTGGGAAACATTTTTTTTCCCTGAAATCTTGGACAGCGACTATCTATCCATCCATGGTGGGGTGGGAGAGGGGCTGGGAAATAGGAAGAATCTGTTGGATCAGGTTTTTCACTGCAAATAAATTCATTTCTGGGTTTGCATCTGGAAGAAAACTGATTTTGGAAAAAGAGCCATTTTCAGCATCAAGCAAGAAGAAAAAAAAAAATACAGTTGAACTGCTATGTGTCAACCCAACCCTAATCTGGGTTTAATGCATCCTGCACAAAACATCTGAGTTTCTGGCCTTTCTCACTTAGAAGGAAATCTGCAGGTACCTTCTAAGGCTCTTTTTCCCCTGTTTGTTTATTTTTCAGTATCAATATCTATATCTATATCTATATCTATATCTATATCTATATCTATATCTATATCTATATCTATTATATCTATTTATCTACTTATCTATCCATCTATCTATCTATGTGTGTGTGTGTGTATATATATATATAGTATTCAACTTCGGGTATTTTCCCACGTCATTATAGTTGTGCTTTTAAAGTTGTAGCAACGTTTCAGCAGAATCCCATCTGCCATCATCAGGCTTCTGATGA